AGACCACCATCATCGCTAGTAGTTGCCTCGCGAGTATCATCCGACAGGTTAAACTCCGGATCCCCAGTCGGTTGCAATACGTCATCAGTGGTAGTCTCATGAGGACCAAGCCCACCAAGTATCGGGCCAAGTAGGCCACCATCATCGCTCGTAATAGTCTCTGCCGTGTTTTCGGAATGACTAGTATCTTCGTCGGATGTGCTGTGATGTGGACCAAGACCTCCAAGGATAGGCCCGAGTAGACCACCATCATCGCTTGTAATAGTCTCCGCTGTGTCTTCCGAACGGCTGGTCCCCACTTCAGTGGTGCTCGCATGCGGACCAATCCCACCGAGTATTGGACCAAGTAGACCTTCATTATCGCTTGTGTTTACTTCATCTGTTACCCCTGGTTGGATGAGTCCCACATCGGTATCCGATCTAAATGTACTTTCGGAGGTGCTCTTATGAGAACCATTCCCTCCAAGAATCGGGCCAAGAATACCACCATCATCGCTTGTGGTTGCCACTTCTGTGTTCTCCAAGCGGCTAGATACTGGATCGCTAGATAACTCAACAACCTCCTCCGTGGTACTTTTGTGAGAGCCGAGCCCGCCAAGAATTGGGCCAAGTATACCTTCGTCATTGCTAGTAGTTGCCTCCTCTACTACCTGCGCTGGCAGGCGCTCTGTCTCGTTGTTAGTCTCAACTTCATCGTTGCTATTACTTTGGCGAGCCTCTGGAGTACCGAAAATCCCACCCAACAGTCCGGGAGATGGGTTTCCGCCACCGTCTTCAGTATCGATGTCGTCATTGGAATCCAGATCATCAATTGTGTTTTTCTCGTTGCCCCCGAGGCCCAACTACCATTGCACGGATAAATAAGAACAGTAAAATAACCAGGTACCAACAATATTTAAAACAGCGCATTGTGTGAAAAAAAAACAATGGTATACCTAGCTGTGTCGACATGTCGAAATAAAAGCTTGCACTTACCAGACCAATTGGTTGTGTTTCTACGGTACTAGAGTCAACATCTGTTGTTTCGGCTCCGCCGAGCAGCTGACCCGAGGTAGTGCTAATACCGATGGCTAGCCACAGGGCTAGCGCAATTCGAGTCTTTCGGCAGTTCATCGATAGTGTTTGCCCGCAACAACACTATTGTAGGTACACAACCGCTAAATGTTTAATTGCTATATGTGTAGAAGTTATGAGGGAAAAAGCTGTTAAGAGTTAAATGCTGATGAGCCGCTCAGGGTTAATAATATTGGAAGCTGGTAATTATAGCTGTAATTTAACCCTCTCTGACAATAACGAAGATGCAAATATAGCGAAACGTTGAGTCTGTCTAAAACTCGTTCGTTGGATAATTAGAAAAATGCAGGGAAGCTCGCAGGTAAGTAGAGGGTATCGAGGTAAGGGGAAAATGATTCAGGTAGAGAAGCAAGATAACTCTTTGCAAACGGACACGGTTTCGAAGAAAATAGGTAAGAAAAAAAACCCTGCGGGTGGTTTAGAGGTGAGAAGCAATGTGAAAAGGGAGAAAAAGAAACTGGCAGGCTCGGCAAGAGAGACCACGACACAACGTACATCCACCCCAGTGCGATGCAAGAGCGTGCATATGCGGGATATGTTGCAGCATGTTGAGGTGCATGCCCCTCACTCTTTGATGGCGCGCTTTGTTGTTTTCGCCTTTTGCAGTTCAAATTACCCTTTCTCGGGTTCGCTGGTTTTCAACACCTCGCAATTGCAGTATATGCTACAGTGTAGAAACATAATTTTTCTTAGACTGTTCAAAAATGTCTTTTTCGTTTGCGTGAAAGGGCACTAATTTCAAAGGAACGCGTGTTCCTGCCAAGGGACCGTTGTGGCCTTCGTGTAAAAAGGCGCCTTTGCACGTCGGTCTCCCCCATCCCCAAAAAACACAAAACTGTGCTTTCGTTCACATTGGTTGAAAGAAAAACTTTATAATCTTTCTAACTGCACCTCTGAGATCTACATTTCCATATTTAGGTGGGCAATCTACAAAACGGAACCTCACCAATGCAATGTCACACCCTCATTACCTGGTTGACGACGGGTCAATTAAACAAGTTCTTCCTGGATCAAAAGTGATTTGAGGCGGTTTGCCACAAGCTGCAGCATACCTATCAGGATCTGAGAGTCGTGCTATATCCAGGCATTTATCTTAATAGCATATGCTAGGCTGGTCTTGTGCGATATCGATTCCAAATAATTCAGCAGCGCCTCTGCAAAAACACAGAGGATCTATGTTTTTACTGTGATGCCTTCTTTAACGTTGTCAATCCGACAAGCCAGCTTGGTCGCGAAGTATCTTTGATTTTTTTAAAAAAAAAAAAAAAAAAAAAACCAACTGGCAAACAGGCTTGACATGCCTTCACCACAGTGCGTAAGTTGCTACAAAAAAGAACTAATTGCAAGTTTTGTCAAAAAATAAAAAAAATGAGGAGTGCAGGACTCGAACCAACAACCTTTCGCTCTGGAGGCGAACGCGCTACCATTGCGCCAACTCCCCATTTCTGACACTAATACGTCATTCTTGAAAGCTGTTCTTTTAAAAATATTAAGAAAATTAGCTAGACAAATTTAATGATAATGTGAATTGGCTAGTGAACAACTGACAATAATTGTGTAATGATAGTACGATGAATTAGTATCATAATAAACAAGCGCAGAAATTATTAGTAAAAGGCTAAATTCTAAAGTTTCATTCCGGACAACAAGTCAGCAGCCTTAACAACCTCTTCAACTTGCATCATACGTAGCAAATTCTCCACACCATCAACACGCCAGATCTTGTTAAGATCACCTAGCAACGACCACAAACGCTTTAGCGCAGTTGTACTTTGCTTTAACTCTTTACGAGCTTTATCACACTTGGAGGTTTTTTTGTTATTAGCCTCTTTCTCGATTATGTGCCTGCAAATATGCACGTTCCGTATCAGTACGGTCATAGAGGATAGCAAGCAGAGGGGCATCACTTGATCATGCCTCTCCAGCGGCATGTCATTGTTACTGTCAAGATGGCGAACAAGATCATAGACAATCTCCAGACATACGTTCCACGAATCCTCCACAATATCGTATGCAAGCAGACCGCGGTTCTGGCGATCAGCAAATATACCAGACATAATCTCATAGATTAGCTTGTTTTCCGGCGCATCTGCAAGTTTTAGCGAGGTAGTGTCGGGAGCAGAGGCAAATACCTGGGTTGGCCCTTGCGTCTCAAAGTATGACGGTCTGTTGGCAAAGTGCAGGCAATGTATAACCGGCACCGAGTACATGTAGAGACAAAAGTAGCGTATGCGCAACAAATGCAAGCGGTGCGAATAGCTGCCAAACGTTGAAAACGAGCGGTTAGCAGCAGGATTGTGCTTTATGTCGCTAAAGTTTACAAGTTTGCGCTGCCAGGCTCTCAGCTCCTGGTGGATGTTACGAAACTCTTCGATATCAAACAGCGACCTTATTGGTAGCAAAATTTGAGGACGAGCAGGAGCGTAACCTTGAAAGTATTTGACGTTTGGTTTAAAACCATCTCCATGGGGATATACAGACAAGCTAAGCTTAATCTTCCACAAAAAGTTGTTGACTCGTGAGATAATTGTTGTAAGGGAGCACAGACTTATAAATGAATGGGTTAGTGAGCCCGACTTTATAATATCGCTTGCTGACATTTCCCCATTGAAGTAGGTAGGCAGACTATCGTGGAGGCGCGGAATAGCTATGTTGTCCCATTCCGCAGATGAGCCTGGTGGCAGCACCAGCAAGCGCGAAGGAAGTAGCGCCATAAACCGATCGCTAAGCAATGCAAGATATCCATCAATTTGGTATACAACATACAGCGTTCGACGCTTTATCTCTACATTGATCCACTCCTCCCAAGTTATATCTGGCTGAATTGGTTTGGAGTCCAGCATATGCCAACCGAGACGCATAACAAGATTTGACGCTAAACATGTCAGTGTGTTGTACATCATAAATCTGCATTCGCCGCCGTTGAGTGACGCCATGATAACCACGGCGCGTACATAATCCAAGTTCGGTTCATCAAGGTACACAAGCAGCTCAGAATTGATATCCTCAATTAGCTTGTCAAGGTCAATACTGCTGCCTGTATATTTGTTAATATACCTCGCTGCCGATGCCCGCATTGAACTGATAAGTATCGGATCTACATCACCAGCGACGACTCTGCGTAAAAATGAGGACGGATGAAATATCGGACATATCGAATAGAAGTACTCGAAGTAGTAGATGATTGCATTGCGAGTATCCTCGGAGACCTCATTCGAATAAAAGCGACGAAGGGTATCCTCAGAAGAGCTTTTCTTCGGATGGCTGACGTCACTTTCTTTTACTAACTGCGCAAACTCGTCGTTTAGCGTAGGGCTGGTGCGAAGCTCATCACCTGTGGAAGCCCGAGTAGGACTGGCTGTCAACTGGTGTTGTTCGATTGCCAAGGGAGAGGCGGCGACTGTAGTGGCGGAAGATTGCCTGCTCTTATGCGAGTGCGATAAGGCAACGTGTTCAATTTCGCCTTCAAGCCCAAGTCCAAGACCGAGTTTCTCACCTGAAGCGTGTTTGCTGAGTGGTATTGCGCTGGTAGTCGCTGTACCGCTGTGCATATTCCCATGCTGCTCGCCGATCAATGGCAGATTTACGGCGCTGCTAGAGCTGCTTGCGGGCAAGGATTCAGTTTCAGTAGGTTTTGGCTTTGGTTTTGGCCCGCGCTTCTTCATTGGAATCCACTTGCACTCTACGCCTGCCCTGACGCAGTTGACACACCGAGTACCGCCGCCTTCGCAACGAACCTTTTTGAGATGACAGTTATGGCAGGCACGCGTGCGTCGCTGCCGATGCCAATGGGCGTATCTCTGCACAATATTGGCGCATGAGTTGTAGGGATTCTGTGATAGAAAAGATGCGTACGTTTCGTCTGCCATTGTTTCTGACCGTGGTACAGCTAGCGAAGGATGGCCAGGTGCACCCTGCCGAATGTAAGGCCAGTAGCGATAATCGTGCATGGTATAAACAGACTGGTCGCGCACAGCATGTGTGCTATTAGAATGATGAGCTGGAGAGGGCAGCGGAAGCGAAGACTCCACATGCAGCGGGCGGCTTTTTTGAGACAGCACCGGCCTGTGAGCCATGTGCTTTGGGCTGTAAGAGTCTCTCGGCGGCGTTGCCGGCCCACTCTGCTCCTCTCCAATGTTTAACAACGAACTTATATGCAGATACTGGGACATATGGACGCAAAGAAAATATTACCAATGTCACAAGCAAGCTAAGGTGAGGAGATGTGAGGAAGTTTGCGGGTTTTGAGCGGGAAAAAAAAAAAAGCACACGCCAGGGAATTGGCAGTGCTGTAAAACAATAGTAATGACAGAGTCAGGCAGCTGTCATAAAGACTGATGAGAAAAGAAGTCGAAAAATGGTGTGGTGTTTTGGTGGTGGAAGAAAATCTTGACAAAGCTGTGAATAAGCTGCTCTGTCTTTAAAAACAATGGCGGAAAAAGAAAGGATGCAAAGGCCGAAGTTGTTCACGCAGACGGCAGGTCTGCATTTTATCTGCACTACAAAACACACTCGCTGTGTATTGAACCGTATGCGGATGAACATCCATTCAATATGCATGTTGAAAATATGCCGTGCCTGTAGAGGTTGGATGTGCATACAACCAGGTCGCTACAGCAAAGGTGCCTCTGGGTTGTAAGCGGAGATTACTCTAGCTTTACTAGTGCTGCCATGACCTAGTGCATAATCAAGCGGCACTCAGGCATTAAGATGTCCGGGTGGCTGTTTAATAGCAGCTGCCAAGCCCCGCACAGCCGTGGATACACAATGCCACACAAGCTGCACACCCAGGACAACATCATTGTCGTGCAACGGTCGAAAAGCAGTCTGAATCCATGCTTAGTCCCCCCTTCTCTGACCTTTTTTTTTTTTTTTTTTTGTACTTGTTATTTAGAAGATGGATGCCATCTGCATAGTCTGCAGCTGACGTGCCCTTGCCGCTTGTTGTTGTTGTTTCTCGCCCATCACATTTTTAGCATGACTTGGGTGTTGATGGGAACAATGCGTTCTTGGCCAAAAACAGCCAAACATGCATTTCCGGCAGAAAAAGCGTGTATTCGGCGGACATATCGAACAAGCTGTGGAAGGTCGTAGCCGAGTCGGATCCGGTCCAAGCGCCAATCCATCACAACAGGATCGTCTAAACCACCTGTATGTGCCCATAGCCTTTGCATTTCAAGATAAAGGTATAAATCTGAATTCCCTTTTTCTTAATAAGCCTTACTGCGCATTGTAATGTATCTTCTTTTAGACTCAAGAAGCATCAGCCACCAATCAATACCACCATGCCCAAACACGATCCATTTTCTCCAAAAGCTGTTGCAAACCGTATAAAGGCAAAGGGCCTTCAGCGTCTGCGCTGGTATTGTCAGATGTGTGAGAAGCAATGTCGCGACGAAAACGGCTTTAAATGCCACTGCGCATCAGAGTCCCATCAGCGTCAGATGGCAATATTTACTGAAAATCCCGAGAGATATGTCGAGCAGTTCTCCCAGGAGTTTGAGGATGCCTTTCTGTCGATTTTATCTCGGCGCTATGGCACAAAGAAGGTACTGGCCAACCAGGTATATCAAGAAATTGTTGCTGACAGACAGCATCTACATATGAATGCAACGCAATGGGATACGCTAGGCGATTTTGTCAAGCACCTTGGGCGTGCAGGCAAATGCAGGGTTGAGGATTCGGAGCGTGGATGGATGATTGAGTGGATTGACGTTAGCCCTGAAGCACTCGCCCGTAAGGCTGCCATTCAGAAAAAAGAGCGCCAGGCCATGGACGATGAGCAGGTGGAACATCGGCTGCTTCGCGAACAAATGAAGCGCGCAAAGCAATTGCGCCCGTCAGATGATACTATTAGCAGAACAGCGTATTCGCGGTCAGAGTCAGCAGAGGTCGTTAAATTAGATGCAGGAAAACCTATTAGATTTGGCCTTAAGACAATGTCTAAGCATGGATCTTCCGGCATCAACTCTTTTCTAAAGCCAGCCAAGCCTTCGCTTAAGGCAGGAAAAGGTTTTGTAAAATCAAACCCGTTCAAAAAGGCTACGGGGTCCTTGTCTGTAATACAATCCAGTAATACTGACGGTGACGGTTGTGTACAGGGCGGCACTGCACCCAAACAGCCGCCGAAAAAAATGACCGCTGTGGAGGAGATAATGCAGCAGGAATTGCGACACAAGGAAGCACGAAGGACCAGATCGCGGTCCCCCAGCCGTAATAACCGCCGACGCAGCCAATCCCCCATGTAAACAATCAATTATAAAAGAATGAGCGCAATCAGTTTGTTTAACAATGAAATCATATGTCTAGCCTGTAAATTGGACGCCATCAAAAGGTCTACATTACAAGTGCCGGAGCGACTAGAGCCGGTTTGCTTGACGCCGTGCAGTAGCAAGCTTGTTTCCAGTGCGATCCATATCCTGATCGAGCTCGGTCAAAAGT